ACTGACATGTCTCAAGGTCACCCAGCAGCCATTCTGAACCAAATGCTTCACCCATCCTTCTTCACCATCGGAGTGTTTTGAAATGAACATGGACGGGACAGCTGTCTCTGATTCTCCCTCCCTGATCCTCTGGGGTGTCCCTGCCACTCGCAGGGAGCCTCTGTGAGTACAGAAAGGAGCCTTAAGAAACAGTCTTAAATTAAACAAGAACTTTCTCCTTTCCTTCTGCTGCCAACCCTGAAGGAAAAAGGAAAAATAAAAGGGGAAAGAGGCTGGGTGCTTATGTCATAGCAGAGAGGTGAGTCCCTTCTAGATTATCAGGCCATCACTAAACACGTGTGAAATAAAGACATTTGATTTTGACCAAAAGCAGACCAGAAATAAGTGAAGGTAGAATAGGGTTGCATGTGAATAATTCCTGAGGCTTGATTCAGACTGTTTTGAACACTCCACATAGGGAAATAGAATTTCATATGATTTGCTCAGATATTTCGCTAAAACGTCTCCATGGTCTGGGTCAGGACTCACAGGCTGAGATTCCAGGAAGGCCAGGTGACAGGACAAAAGTCCCAGCAGGAGAGGTTTGGGTGGATCTCTGACCTCCATACTGCACACCTTTGCTACTCAAAGAGTGGTCCCTGGGCCAGCAGCATCCGCCTCACCTGGCTGCTTGTTAGAAATGCAGACTCTCAAGCTCAGTCCAGCCCCACTCAATCCGACAGGCATTTCAATGAGATGCCCAGTGATGCGCAAACAGTGTGATTTGACAAGCACTCCCCTGAATCATCGGTGAGATGTTTGGAAAAGTCAGTCAGTTGCAGAACCTTATTGCAGACAGGAAAGACATTCAGCCCAAGTGAGAGCAGTGGGCCTCAGCACTCCATCACCAGCATGGAGCTGTTGGGCTAACACCATGGCATGGTCTCACCTCGAGGCTGCAGGTCAAGGAAGTCATGTCCAGCTCTCGGGAGATGAAATGACTTCCTGGAAGCTGTGATAAGAGAGTCAATAGCCAGTGCCAAGCTGTCTTACTGCCATACTTCCTGACATGCTCATGGTTAAGAGGAGATGGGCCACTGGAGACTACTACTCAGTAATAAAAAGGAACAGATTGTTGATCTTAGAACTTCTTTGGATGGATATCAGGGACATTGCACTCATGCTAAGAAAGCCACTTACGGTATGGTTCCTTTTATATGACTCTCAGAATGACAGAACTACAGAGATGAAAGGCAGATTACTGGTTCCCAGGCATCAGGGATGGTGTGCAAAGAAGAAGGGGGCTGGAGTGACTCTAAAGGGGTAGCAGAGGGGAATCTTTGTGGTGATGGACTAGTGAGTGTTATGGGGGTTCAGTGAAGCGATACAAGTGATAAAATGGCACAGAACTACATACGCTGGTGCCAGTGTCAGTTTCCTGGTTTTGATGTTATACTAGAGGAAACCGGGTGAAGGGTACGCAGGACCACTCTGTACTGTCTTTGCAACTTCCTGTGAATGTATAGTTATTTAAAACCAAAAGGCCAAAAAAATAAAAATAAAAAAGAGATGGTAGTTATGAGGGCGTCATCTGGTGAGACACCCTTACAGTAAAACATCCCTGGAGCGCTGTGGTAAGGCTTTTACCTGGTTTCCTGCCTGTTTTACAGAAGACATCATTGTACTCTGAGGTCCCTTTTCCAAAGTCCTCCAGGAAAATTTGCATCCAGGATGTCCTGTCACATTAAATGGTGTTACCACAAGGTTCTCAGATATGGAGGTAGTAAGAGGAATGTGACATGCCGTGTCCCATCTGGACACACAGAAATCAGCTCGGAAAGACTCTCACTTAGAGTTTAGGAAACAGGTCCAGAACGGAGAGGAGGTCCAGCCAAGGTCACCAAGCAGCTGACAGTGGCAACGGACTCAGTGGTGAGATCTGGTGCCCAGCCCAGAGCCCCTCCATCACACCACCCATCACAAGTACCAGAGGCTTGAGATGGCATTAAAATTCAGAACTCATCTGAAGGTTCACTCTGAGAAGCAACATCCAAACAACCTATCGATGACAGCAGGGCATCTCTTTTAATTGCCTATTCACGCCGACAGATTGTCGTTTCATATTCAGAGCTAAACGTGGAGATGTGTCCTTTCACAGGGCACTTATCTGACTGCCTCATCAGTAATGGGAACTAATGTGCAGTGTGATTGCTGAGTACAAGTTCTATTTTTTCCCGGCCAAGCAGGAAGTTTAAAACCTGCTGAGTTATTTTTAAGGAGGATGAAAAATAGGCATCATACCAGCTTCCGCAATGGCCTTGTCCAAGGGCACGTGCCGCTTTATTCAAGGTGTTGGCCAGGCTGGGAGAAATGGAGGTCATGTGAAGTTTCCGCCATGAGATTTCTCGGTGGAAAGGTGGCGGATGAGGGTCCCCACACTCAAGTGGCAGCAAAGGACATGGGCTCAGCTGCTGACCCGATGGGGCAGCGATCCCAGATTTTTCTGGAGTCGTCATCTAGCAGTTTGTTTCATTTGAGGATTTGTGACTTCCTTCCTCTTCTCTGAAGAGCCATGGCACCCAGGCTCTGAACTGAGCGCTGGCCCCAGTGCGTCTGGTCCCTGCTGGGTCTCTGGGGCCTTGGGCTTCAGGCTCATGTCATATGAGTCACAAATGAACACCTCACACTTCTGAGTAGATGAGGCATTCGGGAGAATTAATCCCTGGAAGTCTAATATTCAGGAACATAGTATTCAAATGATGTAAGGGAAGCTGCTTGCACTCGGCTTCCACTGATGTAAGCACTTCTTGATCACCTGCCGACTTTGTGCAAGGCTCTGTGCTAGGAACTAGGGTCGTAATAGAGCTGTTTTGGGGGAATTTCTTCACATCCCCTGGAATAAGGAGTAAAGCCCTAAAGAATCACAAACCACCATGAGGACCACTGTGGTAGAAAGTTCTAGAAATAAAGGGCCAACTCATTAACCTTCCCTTCCTTGTGAGTCAACTTCTTCCCTCTGCTGCATCTTACAAGTTTGTAAATGCCTCTCTGCACAGGACAGTGTCGGACTTGTACAAATGATCTGTAATCTTCCCAATAACGCTATTGACTAGCTGTATTTAAACACAATGTCTCAAGAGTGGAAAATGAAAACTAGATAGAGTAAGTAAACTTGTCCATGGCTCAGAGCTAGTCAGGTGCTGAGCTGGCTTGGAAGGGGCAGGTTTTTCAGCTGCATGGAGCCTGAGCCCAGCACTGGGTACCACACAGAGGTTAGTGAGTGTCTCTCTAACTTGAACCTTGAACCTTCAAGCTGAGAAGCCCAGGAAACAGTGTGCTGAGCTTGGAGGGTGTCTGGGTAGGGGCCAGTTGGAAAGGGAGTTAGAAGTGGTAGGATGTGAATACTTCCGTGATCATCTGGGATTCAAGCGAGCAAACGCAAGGGAAGGGGAATGCTGAATTTTGAAGAAAGCAAGGCACCCAGGACTGGAGAAACAGGTTTTTTCTAAGAATTGTTTAGGATCCTCACCCCTTTGTCCACACAGCCGAGCACATGCCTGATGTTAGTAAAACACTGTGTGGTAAGTCTTGGTAACAATACTGGATAACACAGCAGCCAGCTGGAACGACGCTCTGCCTAGGACGTCACAGGAAACAAACAACGTGAGCCGCAGACACAGAATCACTGAAGTGCGGGATCTCAGGCGTGGAGAAGCTCTTACAGGCCCTCCACCCGCCCCCTTTACAAGGCAGGATGCACTGTCTCCCATTTCTGCCTGGCCCTCCTGAGATGGGAGCCCACACCTTCATCTCTATTTGTGGCCGAGGACTCTCCTTTTGGGGAGAATGGATGATGTTCAAACGTAAGACCAATTACACGTGCGTGTACGGGGCTGGGGGCAGGCAACAGAAGCTGGGTGGAGGCCTGTGTGCTGATTCAGGGTTGCACGTGCACATCGCTTCCGATTTCTCAGTGCGCCGGAAGGGGTGGAGGGGAACTTTGTGGCGGGCAGGGGGCTCCCCTCCTCCCCACAGATGCTAAGGGGCCTTAGATGCTGTAGGCTTCACTGAGGTCTGAATGACAAAGCCACCTGTCAGGCACGGCAAAGGCAAATGGGTGGCACATCAAATGGCTTATTCACCCTGAGGCTACACAGAGGCTGATGCACAGTCAAAAATATATCGACCTTTTGTTCTCCTGGACCGAGTCAGAGTTCTGGCCCTTGACACTCAATTGCTTTGTTTGCTTCTTAAAGAAGAAACAGTCCCTGACTGCCAAGCAGGGGTGAGCAGTCGTTCTCAGAGGTGCTTCTGATGTCAGCGGTTTATGGGGCTCCCAGCTCGGGTCTCCAAGGGGTACCCAGACCTCTCTCTGGCTTCCCATAGCCCTCTGTGGATGAGCCAGGGACACTAATCTCCACGCAGACCGGAGGTGGGCAGGCTGGGTCGGGAGCCAGAGGGGACCAGCTGGGGACCTGGTTTGTCCTCAGTGATGATGACACCCGAGAAGAGAGCTACTTGTCTCTCCGTGACCCTCAGCCCCTGTCCCAGAATGCTGCCACGGTCCTCAGGCAGCGACCCCTGCCGGCCCTTGGTGGGGGGCACACCATGGTGCTTGTTTTTCTCCACTACCCCACCCTGACAAGCTTCACCAAGGCACAGGAATGAGAGCCAGGACTCCACCCTCTGCTGGCGACCCAGCTGCAGTAGGTAAGAGGCCCTAAGCCAGTGGCCCAGCTGGTGGCCCCTGTAAATCCTCTGCCCACTGGGAAGGAAATCCAAGGAACTCGTGCAGATGTGTGTGCAGATCCTGGGACTAGCACGTGCTCAGCCAGGCTCTAGGTGACAGAGCAGACAGGCAGTGGCCCCATCCGTGACAGGGCACCTATCTCTTATCTGGTATCTTCATCTCCCTTGATTTTTTCTTTAAGGCCACGTTTTCCAAGCTTGTAACTGAGTGAAATTCTCAGGCTCCGACTATTGGGCAAAGAGCCCCTTGAACCACACAAACAATGCGCAGCTTGGGAAAATCATTTCTTTTAATGACAGAGAAAGCACACCAAGCTGTCACAGAAGCCCATCAGGAGCGGCCACTGTACAAATCAATGCCCGGAGGTCCTGAACTAGCATTAGACATTCACAGGGAAGTGCAGTGTGGCGAAGGGAACATCCACGCGGCATCGAGGACACAGAGGAAGCAGGAGACAGTGACAGCTCACACGTGTGCTGTGCATCCATAACTCAGACTCCTCTGCAGGCAGCTCTTCCCTCCTTCTTCCTCTGATGTAGGGCCTGGGGAGGTTTGCAGATGACCAAGGGGAAGACAGGCCCTGTGTATCTGTGTCACAGAAGAGCCAATTCTGTAGGCAGATGTGGCCCTGGGACTCCAAGGGTCATGCCCACGAAAGGAGATCTGACATCAGTCCTCTCAACAACAGCTCAGGGAGCAAGTAGGATGGATGAACAGCAGCTCCTTTAGAATCTAGGGTCTGTGCACGACTTCCCAAAGGCATGCTAGGAAATAGGTTTATCAATGAAACTTTGCCATCCCAAAGAGTAAAAGTCATTCTCCTGGTTTTTACTGCATGTATGTAGGTTTCAAATGAAAGGACAAGAAGAAAAGGCAGCAACTCAAAACTTATTGGGGATATTGTGGCACTTCACCAATCTCTTTTGCTTATAATATATGGCAGAGCAAACGGAACCCTGTCAACATAGACTTTCATTATAGATGACCCTATGCTGTACACTCTCAGAATACAGAAGGAATCCATCCTATCATACATGTTTCATCTTTAAAAATAATCTAACATAGTCATATTCTCTGGCTAGTAACAAACTATTAACATCTGAGAATACAGAGAAAACTTGGGATTAATAGTAAATTCTCTGACGTGCTCCCCCCACCCTCCCCATTCAGCATCATCTATGAACACATTTCTGCAAAAGCTCCCATAATCATTCATAATTAGGAAAGGAAGGATATGATAGTTTCACCAAATAGACTTTTAGCAAGAAGTGATGGAATATTTCTACCTTGGCAAAAATGAAGCATGAACATAACATATCACAGGTTTGGGCCCATGCAAATGCATGTTTTGTTATGTGGGGGTATTTTATTCTTACCCCAAGACCACGATTAGCATGCAGGTTGTTTTCAACTACTGAATTAGAGATAATTATTGGCAGTGCACCTCTCTTGGGTAACCATGATCACTAAGGCAAGATTATTATTTCACCTTGTATAGGATATCAGCAATATCTTGTCAGATGCATGTTATACAGTGAAGACCTGCGACGTAATATTTTTCAAAAAAAGAAAAAAACCTCAAAACACAGATTCCCTAAACACAATTCAGTTGAAAAGGAACTGTTAAGCTTTTAGAAATATATTTTAAACTACAAGGCTGCCCTGTTTTTACATTTTTATGAACATTTGAAAAAGTCCCCACCCCTAAAAATTTGCCAAATTATTTCTTCGTTATTGGTAACAGTCTCACCAAATTTGCTACCTTGGTTGATTCTTGCTGAACCATAGCTACTAAGGTCCTCAATGTGTAATCAACACCCTTTGGAGGCAGTTTAATTAAGTTCTCCGACTGTCAACCTGGAACTCCAGCAACCTTTAGTGGTTTTCAAGCCATCCAGTGGACAGCGGTGGGCGTTCAGCCGCCCCAGGCGAGCTTTCAGATGGTGTTAGCTTGGCTGAGCCCAGCGGCCACCTGACCTGCAGACCCAATTTTTATTTTTCAACAGGGACACACTGGAGCTGAATTTGCTTATTCAAGAGAAGCTGAGGCAGTAGAGACAGCTCCTTGGCCCAGCCAAAAACAGATGCCACGTGAAATCTGTGCCCAGGAGGCCCCTGGGCAGCGTTGGCTGCACCGATGCTTCATACAACAGAACCTTTGGAAGATGACAAGTGGATTGACTGAATCCTAATGGCCAACGTCCTCTGTAAGTCCTGGAGCACATCCTGGCCTGTCCCTTCGCCATTTTTGTCATATAGGAGCTGCTTGAATGCTTCATTTTCAATGAGGACCATCATGTTTTTGAGGAAGTAGCCTTCACAATAGGCTGAGAGCTCTGTGACTCCAAGGAACTGTGGAGAGTGGAGAGGAAGTAGGAGACAGTTATGTTTCTGAAATGCACTTGATAGCTTTCAGATATAACAATGGCGACCACCTAGTAGGGCAGATTGGCTGCAAAAATGGCCCTGATTCTCCACCCTTTGCTGTATTCACACTGCTGGCACATGGCTTCGCACCTTCTTCCATCAAAGCATGGGAGTCTTTTTCTCCACTTGGCCTTGTGACTTGCTCAGGCCAGTAGAAGGTAGGCGAAGCGGGAGGTGCTGGCTCTGAGCTAAGCTTTGCGTGACCATGTGTATGCTTCCTCGCTCTCAGAACCCTGCCTGTGCTGTGAAAACAAGCCTGGGCCGGCCTGCTAGGGGGGCGAGTGACTACATGAAACTGAGGGGAGCCAGCAACATGGCCCAAGCCGGGGTGAGCAAAGCCAGCCACAGTGGACCTCAGGAGCAAGATCTGCTGAGACCAGAAGAATGTTCTAGTCACAGACTCACATGCTAAAGAAGGGCTGTGTTTCTTTGTTTTGGTTTTGCATTTATTTCATTATAGATAATGGGCATATGAATGGAGGTGCAGGCAGTTCTGAGCTCTACAAGTATTAACTCATTTACTTCTCACAGTGATCCTAATGGGCACTGCTTACCTAACCCCTATATTTAGGGCAGTGATTCTCAACTAGGTATGACTTTACTCCTTAGGGGACATCTGGAAAAGTCTGGAGATGTTTTTGGTTGTCACACTGGGGCTGGGTGTGTATGTATACTATTGGCATCTAGTGGGTTGAAGCCAGGAATTCAGCTCAATAACCCATGACGCACAGGGCAGGACCTCAGCAGAGAATTGTGCAGCCTGAGCTGTCACTCATGCTGAGATGAGATTGATCTGGAGACATGGTTCCTGATAGACTAAACCAACAAGGAAGGGATTCTGTTGGCCTGGCTTACCATTCTGAGCCCAAGCAGAGGACTTGGCAGATGGGAGACATTTAATAAGTATCTGTCGAATGTATGAATGAACAGTTAACTCTCAGAGTAGTGATACTAACAGCGAACATTTACTGAGAGATTACAGTGCGCTGGGCACCTTGCTAGGCACTTCACATGCATCATCTCATTGAATCCTCAACTTTCCTTGAGGCAGGTATATTACCACCTCCAGTTTATAGGGGAGTAAACAGAGCTAAGAGTAATTTAGAAAAATCCACACAACATATCAAGGGCAGAACAAGGAACTGAACCCTGGTAGTTCAAGTCTTAGGGATGCATGTTTAACCATAGGACACACTGCCTCCAGCCTGAATTCCATTAATCAGAGGGTATTGAGCCTCATGATGGTGGATGGTAGAGGAATTTATGTTTGAGATGCAGAAATAAATGTGGATATGTGGATGGGCTATCTGTCTTAGGACATTCTCTACAGTTTTCAAAGCGTGTAAGTCTCTGTTGCAATAAACTAGATGTTCAGAAATAGTTGTTAAGTGCTCCTTGAGATGACATCCTGATGCTTTACTTAGAACTGCATTATCTAAGTTATCCAAATGCTGCATTTTCCTTCAGAACTAATATCCTGCCCTCTAAATCAGTGGTGCACTTAAGGCTAGACGTGCAATGGTGGAGTGATGAGGAGGCAGGGACAACAGGGCTCAGTGGGCTGAGCAGAAGGCCGGATTCAGGGTGGGGCTCCCCCACCTTTCTGAATTCGTGATGAAGGCTGGGCCGTTTGGCCTCGAGCTCCAGGCTCCTCATTTTCAAAATGGGAATTATGACACCTGCATCATAGGCCTGTTGGGGGTGGGGGAGTCAATGTCATATGATTTATGACAGGATGATGTCACTGCCACACTGTGGAAGGCAGCTAAGGGAGGGGCCCTACAGTCTGCCTGAGTATTTACTCTAGGCTCTGCCACTTACTAACCATTTGCTGCTGGGCAAGTTATATCAATCTTGCCTCAGAATTGTTATCCATAAAATGGGGATGACAATAATACCTACCTAATAGCCTGCTGAGATTAAATGGGATAATACAAGGAGCAGTCAGAACAATAGTTGATTGTGGTCAGCACTCACTCGGTGTTAGTTGTCATTATAAATGTAAACTATTTATAATTATTACTCTCCTTCTCACTAACTTGTATTTAGTAAGCCACATGGATAAAGCAGGGGGCCAGGATGGGATAAGGGGAGCTGACTGTGCCTACAGCACCTAACCCAGCTATCTGGGCCATTGGAGGACCAAGCCTGTAACCCCGACCTCACTGACTCCACGTGCACATTCAAGGAGCCAACAGCAACCATATGCATAAAAACCACGTGCAGCCTGGTGCAAATCAAATCGCTTCTCAGTGCCTCAGTTTCCCATGCTACAAAAGGAGGGGAGTGAACTAGAGGGTACTGTGCTCTTTGGTGCACTTAGGATGTGGACACAGCAGGTCCACCTGTGGTCTCTGAGAGGCTCTGAAGGCCTGGGGAGGCCTTTCAGGTGAGGGGGCTGCTCACCCCACTGTTCACATAGATGCATAGCGTCCTGGAGCTGGGGACGTCTTAGGAATGCTTTCATTCTTTTAACATGAACTCTGCTCTTAGAGTCACAGAGTGCAAGTCCTCTCTGTACAGGTAGGAGAACTGAGGCTCCAAATTACCTATCTTTGATTCTGTGGACACAGAGAGCCCCTGTCCTCTTACCACATCTAGCCACTTTCTTTGTATACGAATGTCACTCATCATAAGTTAGTATAAATGGAGAATAATAAGCACAATAAATACTTGAATTTATATTTGGTGATATTTATTCAGCAGTAAGTATATATCAGACACTTGCCTACCTTCACACAGTTGATAACTGACAGCTGGGGCCGTGACTTTCTGCTAAACCAACGATTGACAAACTATAGGCCTGTGGGCCAAATGTGGCCACTACCTATTTTTGTAAATTAAGTTTTATTAGAACACAACTCCACCCATTCATTTATATATCATCTATGGCTGCTTTTGCACTATAACCACAGAGTTGAATAGGTACAAAAGCTATCATGTGGTCTTTGAGAAAATATTTATCTTGCCTTCCACAGAAAAAGTTTGCTGACCCATCATAGACTAAAATTTTTCAAGTTCTCGAGTCCCTAGTCCCTCTATGACACCCATTCAAGGGCAGAGATCATGTCTTACAAATTATTTATTATATTCTGATGAATACGGTTCCCGGTAAACAGTGGCTGCTCAGTAAACACTAGTGAATGAATTCCTTGGTTTGCAAACCTTGTTCTTTCTAGCACAGTGTACTGTGGAGCTCATGAGATTAGCTTAGATTCAACTGGATGAACCAGTTTCTCCTTTTTCTCATGTTGACAGATACCAGAAATGGCCATCAGAAGCTCCAGGGTCTCTTTTTCATGATTGAATAGGTCAGGGCAGCTTTGCTAGGAAAAAAAAGATGGCTAAGCTGTGCATTTATGGGTTGGGTTTCTCATCTGTATAATATTCCACAACTGACTCAAACAGATGTAGCAGAGAGGCCATGTTGCCGAGGCCTTGCCGACATGTGGAACATGGCTTTTAGCATGTAAATGCCTCCACCTGGGATCCCGACCAAGTGTTGGTTTCTTTCTTTTCTGTCTCTTACTAAACTAGCCTCAATCTGCAGTATGATCTGCTAGTAACAGAATTCACATGGCATGTGATCCCTGGCGGGCGCTGCAGTATCCAGAACACAGGGAAGTGGCACGCAGGAAGGGCGGGGCTGGGGGAGCTGGTGGTGGTGGCTGGCACTGCTCTGCCCTCCATGGAGACACTGTGAGGGGCAGACATTTCCACAGGACACTACAGGATGTGACCTGGGGGGCCGAGGCTGGTGCCTGCAAACACCAAAGTTGTAGTCACAAAGGCACATATATCAAAGAGGTGGGTCTCTGCCATAGGTGTGCTGAGCCTGTAGCACAAAGGAATTCCCAGTCCAGGCTCAGGTGAAATCGCACTGCATTATTAAAGAACAAGATAGCTACAGAAGCTGATTGCCAAGGAGCGTGAAGGAATGAAAATGGGGCAGTGGAACACAGGCCTTGCTGCCTTGATGACAGGCTAGGTAGGGCAAAGTGGCTTGTGGAGCTGGGGTTCACAGGGCGATTTCAGTGTCCGAGGCCAGGGGAGTGGGCAGAAAACCACAGGACAATCAGGCTTGCTTGCTTCCAGGACAGAGAGGGAGTCTCTGTGGATGCTTTTCTGCAAAGTAATCAGTTTAAGATAAAAAAAATTTGTTGTGTCCTGCGAAAATCAGACTTTGGTAAAACTCTCTCATTTAACCAAAACGCCCAGTGTGTGTATGCGGGAAGTCGCCCAACTGTACATTTTGATTTACTGATGACCAATCAGAAAATCTTTTTTGAGTAACAAGGATCATTGCAAATATTTCAAACATTAGGCTAGATCGTAAACACAAGGTTAAGAACCTGTGCTGTGGACTGAGACAAAACTAGGTCTATACTTATGGGTAGAAACACCAAAGAACTGAAAGCAGGGATTCAAACAGATATTTGCCCACCCATGTTCAGAGCAGTATTATTCACAACAGCCAAAAGCTGGAAGCAGCCTAAATGTTCCACTGATGGATGAATGGATAAGCACAATGTGGTCTATACATACAGGGGAATATTACCTCTCAGCCTCAAAAAGACAGTGAACTTTGGACACAGCCTGCCCCACGGGTGAACCCCGAGGACATTGTGCTAATGAAATAAGCCAGTCACAAATAACAAATACTGTCTGATTCCACTTACATGAAGTACCTAGACGGGTCCAGTTCAAAGAGACTGAAAGTAGAATGGTGGTTGCCAGGGGCTGGGGGGGTTACTGTTTAATGGGTACAGAGTTTCAGTTCAGGAAGATGAGAAGTTGTGAAGATGGATGGTAGTGACAGTTGCACAGTGATGTGAATGCTGTGTGGTACACTTAGAAATGGTTAAAATGGATTAGGCATATTTTACCCCAATAAAGAAAGATCACTTCGTACTAGTTGTGTGACCGTAAGCAAGTTACATCACCTGGTTGTGCCTCAGTTTCCCTATTATGGCATGGGACTAGGGATAGCAATAACCTAAAAGGGTTGCCATGTGGATCTTAAAACATGACACAAGGCTCTCGGCACAGGTGCCTGCACGTTAACAGGGCCCACCGGATGTTGGCTTAAGACAGAAAAGAACATTTCAGACGCAACCTGAGTTTTCAGCAATGAACAAAGAGAGCATTATTCATGTCCATTGTCACTTGTACAGAGCTGTGGATGTGGGAGGCATGTGTACTGAGCTCCAGTTAATCAAAGGAAGAGGTTTTCTTTTTGCTTTAAATTAATTCCAGATCTTCATTCATTTTCTTGTTTCTGCCTGGCAGATTCTAATCCCCTGTCTGGAGCACATGACACAAAATGAAGTGGCACCTGGACAAATTATTTTGATTTTCTCAGCCCCAGTATCTCCACTTGTGAAATTAATTGGATGAAATGAGTGGTTCCGAAAAACTGGAGTGAAGACTGGCCTTCGGAATGAAGTGACACACAGCCACCATGAGAGCTGGTTAAAAACACGTATTCCTGGGCCCCACAGCAGGGGTTGTGGGGGTGGGGGCACTAACCAGATTCAGAGCTCTCCGCAGGGGACTCTGCTTAGCAGTCAGGTGTTGGGTCCACATGACTGGGAGGACTCCTTGGACCCCTCCAGGGCTAACGACCTGTTCTCAACCTTAGCCACAACTGAGAATCTCCTGGGAAGCGTTGAAAAATACCTTTTTCCAGGCTCCACCCCCAGGGTTGCTTTAATTGGTCTGTGATGAGTCCCTGGCATAGGGATTTAAATGAGGGCCCAGGGGTTCTTCTGGGCAGCCAGCGATGGGAATCACAGCTCTCGGGTAGTGGTTCTCACCCGGGACCACACATCAGAATCATCTGGAAGGCTTCTGAAGCCACAGATGGCTGGGCCTCACCCTGACAGTTTCTGATTCTGTAGGTCTAGGGTGGGGTCCTAGAATATACATTTCTAACAAGTTCCTTGAAGATGTCGCTGCTACTGGAATGGACTGGCTCCAGAACCTTGTTACTCAAGATGCCTTAGGCCAACAGCCAAGGCTTCACCTGGGAGCTTGTCAGAAATGCAGGACCCAGGGACCAGCTCAGGCCTGTCAGACCAGAGTGTGCGACGCTAGAGTTTGAGAAGCACTGTTTGAGAACAACTCATCTTTTGAAACTGTGGGTTTCTGCTTTCACTGTACTCTGGAGGAGTGAGGGGAGGGGACATGCAGGTACCTGTCTAGAGCAGGTAGCAGACCTTGGGGGGCACACTGGTGGCTCAGCTCCCACTGAGCAGGCCCAGCATCCACTCTCTGCCCTGACTTGGTGTGTCTGCAAGTTCACCTCTTCCACTTTTGGGCACAGTGCATGCTCAGGGCAGCAGGAGAGGCTGATTACCTTGGCATGGTTGTAAATATCCACGCAGTTGTCTGTATTGATGCTCTTTGCACAGATAATCTCACAGTGTCGCTGCAAAGCCTCCAGCTGGAAAAATTTAGCAGCAGACAGAAGCTAAAAACGATAAAAAGAGCCTATTAGAGGCTGTTAGGCAGAAGGTAAGGGATGACAATGGTGGGAAAATGGCTCCTTGTCTGTAGTGGCGTGTGGAGGTGAAGGGACGGGAATAAAGGTGTTGGTACACAAAGGGAACACTGGAGGGCGAAGGTACAGTGACACAACTCTACTGCTGGGGAGGACGGCGGCCGGGATGGGTGGGGGTCGAAGGAACTAAATTCACATCTATCACAGCAGGAGGCCAAGCAGCAACGCCTAAGGTTGTTATGCCCAGAATTCAGGGTGCATGCCATTCCTCGGCAGGGTGGTTCACTGCTCATCCAGGTCTCCACACAAATGCCGCCGCAGAGAAGCCTCCCAGACCACCCACCCAGGTCACCTGCTGGGTACCCTTTCCTCACAGCCCTCCTCAAACCAGACAGCACATCCTGCCTGTCGCCCTGAGCCTGGGAAGGCAGGCACCTTGTGGGATGGCCTCTCTGCTGCGTCCAGGAGCATGGCACTTGGCCGCGGGACACTCGAGGATGAGTGTTGAGAGAGTGGCAGGCCTGGGAGGGGAGAAAGGGCTAAAAGCTAGAGTTCACAGAGACTGCTTTTGGGGAACACCGGGGGTCTGGGGGTGCTGCTGTTTGTGACAAGCCATCTGTATTACTACATGGTTTCATGTATGTTCAGTATTTCTATTTTAAAATAATTTTTAAACAGGTTTACAAAAGAGCCCATGTGCTCAGGCTGCAGCTTGGTTATGAGGTGGGGGAGTGTCAGAGGAAAGGTCCTGAGAGGCAATGCTGTAACTCTGGGGGGTGTGGGGGGGCACAGATTTCACAGAGTAAGGCGAAAAGGGTAGATGGCCACACAGGGAATCTACATTCATGGGGTGCTTACTATGGGCCAGGCAGTTCTAAGCACTGTATAAACAGGAACTCAGAGAATCTTTAGAACCCAGTGAGGTAGATATTGTTATCCCCGTTTTACAAGTGAGGCAGTGGTGGCTCTGAGAGGTTAACTAACTTGTCCGAGATCCCACAGCTCATGAGGGGCAGAGCCTGCACTTAACCCAGTCTGGCCCAGAGCCCGTGACTCAGTCACCGTGCGGTGGTGTCTCCTGCATGGCTTGTAGCGCTCTGATGCCTCTGGTCAGCCAGGCCCCTGGACTCTTTCAGGGCTACGGGAGGGACTTTGGCTTCTGGTTCAAAGCTCTCGGCTTTGAGTAGGAAAACCAACACGGCTGCCACTTTTAGGAAGGAGCAGGGGAAATCCTGGCCTTGGGCAGACAGGAGTGGCAACAGGGCCCCCAGACTAGGGAGGGGAGAATAGGTGAATGACGAGAGGCAGACGGGAGAAGGGCGAGCCAGGGAACTTCGGGAGAAGGGGTAGGAAGGTTGAGTGAGGCTGGGAGAGCTCTGTCACCAGCTCTCGGCTTCTGTGTTAGTGGACACTCTGGGGGGACTGAGAAAGGTTTTCCAGTGATAGAATTCCCTTACAACCGGGCAAAGTCGTGAAGGATGGTTCCTGCAAATGGTATTTGAAACCCAGTTGTGCTTACAGCTAGAGCCAGCCTCAGCCTCTTCAGTGACTTTTCTTTATCTGCCCCCCCCACAAAAACAATTAAAATTGGATTTCCCTCAGCTGCTACTGAAAGGGTTTGGGCTGGTGCACCGAGTACCCCAACCTTCCAGGGAGGGGCTCTGACAAGGAGCTGTTGGGAGGTTGAAGGAAGTAGGCAGGCAGGACTCCAAAGCCTGCATCCCAGTGAAAACCCCAAACGGGCTCTTCCAGATACTGGCAATGCATGCCGGTGACCCGTGTCTATGGAGGTGCCACCCACTCCATGACACAATAGGTTCCTTACCTCCATTATCTCATTGTTTTTAATGAGAAGTGACTCCGGGCCCCCGTAATAGAGATATTGCATGACCAGCTGGAAGGAAGCACACAGTGAACAGGGTGTGAGTGGCACACAGACACAATCATTCTGAAGTCCTTTTGTGGAGGCCCAGGCTAGTTCTCGAGTCCCTGGTCCCTCTGCAACACCCACTTCCCATGGCCACTGGTCCCGTGGGATCATCGCCTTGCAGAAGTTCCATTCTGAAAGCTTTACAGGTTGCGTATTTTTCCTTAGGGCATGATGCAATTGGTCTCCTTGTGGTTCCGCCGGGTCCCAAGTCCACCCCCGATGCCAATCAAACAATTGTGAGCTCTGCTCTCCAGGATGGTTCCCCCATCTACGAATGGTAATCAGATGTCCACTGGGCTGCCCCAAACTGCTGCACACATGGTGTGGTTAAAGAGCCTGTACCAGTGCCAGTTCCCTGGGAACATGGCCGGGTTTGACCAGAAACCTCTCATTCAAGTCCCAGAGGGCGACTCTGGGCTACCACGGGACCACCTGCTCCTAGTCACGAGTGAAGGAGAGCCAAGATGAAACCACCAGGGTCCAGGGCTTCGCTGCTTCTCTGATGGTGTGAACGGTCAAAGCCAGGCTATTCCTTGTTCGTGTGACTCAGGATGCCCAAATGGCATGCAGAGTCCCAGAGCTTTTCAAACTGGTGTCCCTTAAACAGAATGAGGTCCGTGGAGGTGTCAGAATTGGCCGTCACCACCTCCCATGAAACTGGATGCTGGTATTTAGGTGGTGCGTACCCTTTCCCATTGGCCACAGCCTCCTTGGCCCCCTCATCTTCTGCCTGCAGCTATGGCACGCTAACTCTATCTGCCTTGCTCTGGGGCAGCTGTGTTGGGAAAATCTGTAGACCGGTTACATCCCATCTTTGGGCACCTGTGAATTGGGGCACTTGGACTCGGCTCCCTCCAGGCCCTTTGGGCTCTGATAGTCTGTGACCCACACAGGGCAGTGCTTAAGAGCTAAGACTCGGGAGTCGGGCTGCCCTAGTTTCTGATCTGACTCTGATGCTTAAAAGCTGGATGACCTGAATTGAGTTAGGTTCTCTGTGCCTCAGTTTCATCATCTGTAAAATGGGGATAATATTACCCACCTCATGGGCTTGTGGTAAGGATTAAATTAATTACTGGGACAGGCCTGGCAGGGGCCTGGCATGGGCAGGAACTCAATAAATGTTAGTGCTTTAATTTGCTCTGAGGTTGAAAAATCTTTTTCCAGAAGTGCTTCTGTCATGTGCTGCCACTCATTCAGGCTGTTCAAGACTTTTTGTGACTGATTTCAATCTACTTTTTGCATGTATGTTTAATTTAAAAAATATATAGAAAAGATGGTGGTGTGAGAGGAGAGACAGAGGCTTCCTCCTTAAACTGAATACAATTAGAAAATTTAATTGGTGCAACTAATCCTGAGAGAGCAACAGGAAAGAGGACGGTGTCAGACTGCATACACCTGGAGAAAAGAGCAGACCTCACTGAACAGGGTACCAGTACCGCTCCCCTGCGACCCCTGACATTGCTTCAGGGGCTGAGCAGCTCCAGAATAGAGCTTCTGGACACTAGAGGGCGCCATATACAAACATGAAATACCAAAGGAACCTTGTCCAGAGTAAAATTATTAATACAACTCCAGAGAAAGATTTAAATGATATGGACTTCATGATTCTTCCTGAAAGGGAATTCAAAATAAAAATTATCAACATTCTAATGGAGGTACAGAAAGACATCCAAGAACTCAGGAATGAATTCAGGTCAGAGATCCAGTTGTTGAAGAGCACGATGGAGGGTATTAAAAGCAGGCTGGATACAGTGGAGAAGACAATAAATGAAATAGAAACTCGAGAAGAGGAATACAAAGAAGCTGAGGCACAGAGAGAAAAAAGGATCTCTAAAAATGAAAGGATATTGAGAGAATTGTGTGACCAATCCAAGTGGAACAATATTCGCATTATAGGGATACCAGAAGAAGAAGAGAGCGAGAAAGGGATAGAAAGTGTCTTTGAGGAGGTAGTTGCTGAAAACTTCCCCAATCTGGGGAAGGACATAGTCTCTCAGGCCATGGAGGTGCACAGATCCCCCAACACAAGGGACCCAAGGAAGACAACACCAAGACACATAGTAATTAAAATGGGAAAGATCAAGAATAAGGACAGACTGTTAAAAGCAGCCAGAGGCAGAAATAAGATCACATACAAAGGAAAGCCCATCAGGCTAACATCAGACTTCTCAGCAGAAACCTTACAGGCCAGAAGGGAGTGGCATGATGTATTTAAATATATAGATTGTTTACAACTTTATTGAGATATATTTCACATCACAGAAAATGCATCTACTTCAAATGTGCAGCTCTGTGGTTTTTATCATATTCACAATGCTCTGTAGCTGTCACCAGTATCTAGTTTTAGAACATTTTCAATGCCCCTCAGGAGAAGCCCTGCACCCATTAGCAGTCCTCTCCTTTCCTCCGAGCGCCAGTCCTGACACTGCTATGGGCTGTCCTGTCCTGGACATTGCCTGTAAGTGGGATCACACATGTGCTTTCTCTGTGTCTGGCTTCTTTCACTCAGTGTGATGTTTGCAAGGCTCATCCCTGTTGTCACACATCACTCCTTCATTCTCTTTTTATTGTGAACAACATCCCACTGCATAGCTGTACCATGGATTGTGCATCTGTTCAGCAGCTAGCAGACATTTGGGTTGTTTCTGCTTTTTTGCTATTATGAATACCACAGCTGCCATGGATCAATATGCTTTTTCAGCTCTCATCTGTGCCCCTGCCCTTCCCCACGCTAACCACTTGCTTTTACCAAGTCCACCACCTTCTCTTTCAGTTCCATGCTTTGCTCATGCTTTTTTCTCTGCTTGGCTGCCTTCCCTTCCTCTCCACCTGCTGAACTCCACTCCCTCTTTTGGAATCTAGCTCTGTGGTCACCTCCATGGAGCCTTTGCAGATCTGCTCAGCACCCCCAGTGGCCCCCGACCCTGGGCTGGCAGCATGTCATCCATGATTGCTGTGTCATTTCCTTTGACAGCGTGAGGGCCCTGACTGTGCCTTGTCCATCTCTTGGCAAATGCACTTCGAACAGAAGCAAGACTCCTCCCCTTCCTCTTTTGTGTCTGCGTTTCCCATGTACTGACTCTGGGCTTTTGTGACCACCTTGCCTGTCGCAGAGATGGTGGTGCATGAGGGTGGTGGCTGAGACTTTGGGAAATAATACAGCATCCTTTACCCTCCCCTCTCTCACCCTGATGGCTCCTAAGCATCTAAAATACCACATCAGTGAATGTTAGGAGCCTGGCCTCATCAAAACCAATTTATTTCCCTTGCACCTCTGTTTTATAAAGGCGAAACCAATAAGAATAAGAATAAGAGCCATAATAATACCTGCCCCGAACACAGCGCCTCTCCATTTACCAAGTACTTCTCCATCACGTTATCTCATTTATTCAGGGTTGGACTGCTGGCTTGAAATGCTGCTCCTTGGTCGACGGAGATCCTGGGGTAATCATATTTAAATTGGGCAGCCCCATGCCACCTGCACACTGCCAGCACAGACCTTTTCTGCAAGGAGGTGAACTGAACCCTTATTAGACCAAAGTGCCTGTTGATGGAGTTGTTCTTCTTGGCAGCTGTCACCCTACCTGAAGCAGAGATTAAGTGGCGTCTGCAGCCTCATGGAGGCCCCCCCACTCTATTCCAGATGCAGTCTCAGCTGCCCACGGCTCTTGCCCGAATGTGATATTAACCCATCCTGCAGGGAGGAAACCCAAAGCAGACTCATTGGCCCAAAGTTCTCATGTCAGCATGAAAGTAAAGTGAACAGGCCCCTGGGAGCCTCCTTCTGGGTCAGATTCAGCTTTCCTTGGCCTTTTTCAAGCCACAGATGAGGCTTCTCTTCTTTTACAGGGAAGGAGTGGGCACACGGAAAGTCCCTGGGGCCTACTAAACCTTCCCTACACATTACAGTAACTTGAGGCTAATGTGGCCAGGAAACCTTCTCCAGCCAAAAGCAATTACAGACTTCAGATTCCTCTGGGGCCACGCTTTCCATGTAGGTCTTTCATTCAGTGAATCTGTCTGGCAAAAATTTATTGAATGCCTAGGACAAGCTAGGTTCTCATTACAGGAACCTTCCCAATTAGTCCCAGGCTTTATGGCATTGGTGCCCCCTTCACAAGCACTCGGAGAGCTGGGGAAATGTGCATATTCCAGCATCAAGCTCATATCCAAGCTCTAATGGGCCTGAGGGCCTTTCCTCAGGGCTGGGTGATTTTTAGGGATGGTCCAAGTCCCCACAGTAAGGAAGCAATGAAAAGATCAGGTCTGGGAGCCAGCCAGGACTGGATCTGCACCCCAGCCTGCCCGTGATGAGTGTCTTGGGAGTCTGTGCCCTGTCTGTAAGGAGGCAGAAGACCTACCTGGAGGGGCAGCTGGAAGGAGATGATGCATTGCAGTGGTTCTCAGAGTGGGGGTCCCTGGAACAGCAGAATCACCTAGGTTCTTGTCAGAAGTACGAAATCTTGGGTCCCACCCTTGACCTACAGAATCAGGAATGCTGGGGGTGGGGCCCAGGAGTCTGCATTTTAGCAAGTCGTCTGTGTCTTAACAACCACCCCTGCCCCCACCCACCCAGGGAGAACCACTGCAACTCAGAGCCCTGGTGCACTGCCTTGGCTGCACCCTAGGACGATGTGAGGAGGGTGCACAGGCCAAAATGCTGGTGCCTAGGCCCCAGCTCAGGTTATGATTTTTATAGCCTGGATGTTGGGAATTCTCAAAGCTCTCCAGGTGGTTCCAAGGTGCAGCTAAGGCTGAGAAACGCTGGTTTCAAGCCTTGCACGCAGCCAGCTCTCAGGTAATGGTTCTAAATCCCTTTAGAAAGGGTATTCCAGAGCCGATTCCAGAGCCAGGTACCTAGGCTTTGGTGCTAGACAAACTGGTTCAAACTCTGGCTCTGTCACTAATTAGCACTAAGACATGGGACTCATCATTCAAGTTCTCTGGGCCTCAGTTTGGTCATCTCTAAAAATGGCAAGAATCATCCATATAACCACATGCAAGCAAAGGTGGGCACCTCATTCCAAGCTGGAGCCCCCCAGAGAGGCATCTTCACGCTGTCCCCAGCCCTAACCCTAAAGCATGGCAGCAGTTTCCTGGAAAATCTCAAGCCCAACCACTGCCACCACGTCTCGGGCCAAGCTGTGGCCTCTTTGCTCTCAGTAGAAAATGCAGTGAGGGGTTTGAGTGCAGGGCTGAGCAAAGGGGGGAACAGGCACTCGGATATTAGGGGGTGCTGACTCCTTAGTCCCACCTTGGGGCTCCAGCCTTTTCTCGGCTACCCCCACCCCAGGGGGATGGCTCACCCACACTGGGCTTGTCCTTGGAAGCCTTGTACATCCTTAACCCAAAGTAACCTGTTTTACAGGGTCTTGGGCTTAGCAGGGCAGTGATTTATCAGTTATGGTTTAGAAAAACAACAACCCACTTAAAAGTTGCCAAGTTGAGCGTTTCCTCATGTTGTCCTATCTGCTAATCTCTGCAAGAACCCACAACATAGAAGTGATAATGATTAACTTGGAGTCCGTTAAGATATCAAGGATCAGAGGAGAGAGTCTTGCCCATAGTTATTCAGAATGGATTCTTTATTTTGAAGTCTCAATGTAATTGAAGGAATGCACCTCTAATAGTGGAAATGCAGGCACCTAAAAGGCCTTAGGGGCTACGACAAGGGCTTGGTGGCTTCCTAGCAGCCCTCTGAACAGAAGAATCTGGCGGCCCAGGATCAGTGGTGGAGGGAAGAACCGTCTCGGGCCAAGCTGCAAGGGAGATTGCAGTCTCTCAATGCTGTCTTCCCACCAGCCAGGGTTCGTAAGCCAGTGTGGGTGACCTGGGGGGTGTTTTAGTCTCCAATATACCTTAAGACGAAGCCAGACAGACTGATAATCACTTTCCCTCAAACACATCCCATGATTCCCACTCCTGTGCCTTTGTTTATGCCCTTCCTCCTCCTGGAGTGCCCTCCCGAGTACACTAAGGCTTAGAAAGGTGGGGTGATTTGTCTAAGGTCACACGAGGGGCACAGATTGTAAACGGGAATGTAGCATGTAAATTCTGGAATGCAGCTCTGTCCAAAGTGCAGATCGGGACCCCCACCAACCCTGGTCACAGCTAGCCTTCCCTCCTGGTTATCTCTGAGTTGTCCCATTAACCCTTCTAGAACATGAGTCTCCCCAGGGCTGGCCTGAGTCTTATTCACTTGTGTGCTCCTCCCAGGGCTGCCCTTCCTGAGCTGGACTGGAAGAATCATGATCCTGTTCAGAATCCTATACATTCCACCCCCAGGTCACCCACACTGCCTATGAACCCCGGCTGGTGGGAGGACAGGCTTGAGGGACTGCGATCACTCCGGTGGCTCAGCCCCAGGTGGACATAGCAGCCTGCCCTAGGGCTTCATGCCCTAGAGGAGACTTGGAGCTCTAGAAATAAGCTGCAAAGCCAGCTGGGGCATGACTTTCTTCTATTGGCTGAAAGAATATTGTTGCAGACCAGGATTTATGAATCAGGCACGAAGGAAGGAGAAAAAGGACAGAAAGCTGCTGTGCTGTACCCCGTAAACCAATCCCCATCATTCACGGCGTCACCTTCCCCCCAAACCGGACACGTGCTAATGGCATTGGCCTGTGACAGAGAAACCTTCCTCTCCTAATAACATCAGGTTCGGACCAATGTTAAATGACATTGGAATCCCTAAAGCCCACCAGTTCCTGATCACACTCAAACACAGTTTTGGAACTTCATACCTGCTGTTCTTTGCCTGGAATGTTCTAACCAACTTTGTTAAGCCCCAGGCCTTCCTATGACTCAAGAACGTCTCCCCAGCCTCCGATATTTCAGCTAACACCTCACCCAGGAGGCCTCCTCAGTTCCCCTGATGAGTGGCCACAGTGCGTTGGCTCACTGCCTCTCACGTGCCCCCCACATTATGCTGGGATTGACTGATTACTCAGAGCTACCCCCAATGAACTGTGAGTCCCCTGGAGAGGAATGTCCTTTATCCTTGTGTTCCCAGGTCTCAGCACAGGGTCAGGCACATAGTAGGTGCTCAATTAAAGCTGTAGGGATGACTGGATGGCAAATGCGAGGGGCACCATTTGGAGGGCGGCCAAGAGTGCAGGAGATGGACCTTGCTGCCAAGGCTAACCCACGGGCGGAGCACTGGAGGAGCCACCTGTGCCCTCTGGCCACCAGCACGGTGTGGCAGGTCACAGTGGGGGCTCACCTGAAAGATGGGGTATTTCACATAACCGATCTCTATGCAGGTGCTGTCATTTGTTGGTTTGCTGGAAAGCAGTGCTTTGAACCTGAACGAGAACACAGAAAGGGGGATAGAAAGACTCACAGACACATCCACAGGTGGCAAGAAACTGCTCTCTGATGACAGAAAAGTAATTCCTTGCATCCCCCCAACTCTGAAATACGACGATAATAGATTTAACTTAACCCCCAACCCCAGCATGGTACCATAATCCAATCTGAAGTTAAAAATCTCCAGTTAAGGACAGTGTTTTAGACTGTTTAACTACTTCTGAAACAGGCGACTGGAAGAGAACAGATGCCTTTTAAAACCTTGTCCACCTTGCAGGGCCCATCACAGAGGCTGCCTCCTTCCTGGAGTCGTTCCTGGGTTCAGGCTTCACGCTTCTCTGGTGCCCACGGGGCCCTCCTCCTCCTGCCCTCCCTGCACGCGCTCTACCTGCCCAGGGGAACGGGGCCTTATCTAAGTCACACAAAGGAGCTGCTGTTTATACTGGCAGCTGCCCTGCATGCTTCAAATTGTAAAAAAACACATAACGTAAAACTTACCAACTTAACCATTTTTAGGTGTCATATTCAGGATATTCACATTGTTGTGCAAACTATCTTCAGAACTTACCCTGCACCCATTAAAGGACAGTTCTCTCATTCTTCACTCCCCGAGTCCGTGGTAATTATCCTCCTACTTTCTGACTCCATAAAAAGCGACTGTCTAGGTGCCTCATATAAATGGAATCATACAGCATTTGTCTTTCTGTGACTGGCTTATTTCACTTCCTATAACGTCCCCAAGGTTCACTCGCATGGCAGCCTATGTCAGAATTGCCTTCCTTTTTAAGGCTGAATAATATATGTACATTCCACATTTCGTTTATCCATTCATCCACAGATGGACACCCAGGTTGCTTCCACCTTTTGGCTATTGCGAGTAACACTGCCATGAATGTGGTATACAAATGACCTGCATGCTTGGATTCTTGATTTTCTGGACTCTGCCAGTCTAGTGAGGATATCACCAAAATTGAATTTCAGAGAACAGTAAGAGCAACAGCCATGCTTATAATTCAGCTGCTCTCAAAACCGATGGCACATACCTTGGAGAGGCTGTAAATAACAGTACTTTGTGAGCATAAAATGGTCTTCCTTCTACCAGAAAGGTAACATCAGACATTTCTTTATTGTTAAGGAAATGAGGATCTAGAACAGGAAAGGGAGAAAGGGTAGCTTTAGTAGAGAAAAGGGTGAAGTTTGTATTTCTCTTCTGGAAAGTGCCAGTAAGAGTTGACAGGGAACCATGCTGATAAAATACTCCTTGGTGAGACAGTGACCAAAGAGGAGACAGAATAAATCAAGGGGACCCTCAAATCACTGAAATTCAGTTTTTCATAGGAAATCTTCATAGCTTATTTGGGATTAAAAGTAGCGTTTCCCCCAACAGACTCACCCATGGCCTGATCCAGATGACCTTCAAGTGTGGAAGGTAAAATCTGCTGCCTTTCTGGTAAGAATGCTCCTCCCTCTCTGGTTCAGAGCCCTCCCTGCCTGATGGAAGGGATTCAGGACAGCTGCCTCTTTGCCGCTGTGTTCCAGGTGATTCAAAACCCAAGCCCTTCTCTCTCAGGGTCAGTGGCAAATGAACCAGTCCCCTGCCCTCATCTCCAATAATAACGAAGAAGATACAACAGAGTGCTTATGTTGTGCCCTGGAGCTGTGCAAGCCAGTGCTTGTATAAAGGCTTTCAGTCCTGGAAGCCAGGGACCACCATCAGCTGTGCATTTGAGGGAACTGAGGCACGCAGGAGTTAGAGTGACTTGCTTAAGTTAGTGACAGGTGGAAGGGCCAGCATTTGAACTCATTCTGTTGGAAGACCTGCATTGGTAATCACTAAGATCCTCTGATTTACCTGTCATCTTAGCCATTTAGACCTGGGGCTCCTGGTCCTCAGCTCAGTGCGTCTGCTTTTTGGGGACTATCCACCAATCCCTGCCCCTGCCACCTTCCACCCTGCTCAGTTCCTAAGTCAGTCCAGACCCAGGCAAGGTGGCTCTGACCTCTGGTGGGGCTTCCTATGAGGTCACCCACTATGTCAGCTGCCCTGAGCAGAAGCACCCCAGGGCAGACCTTTATGAGTCTCTAAATTGAAGACTACCTCTTTTGGGGTGCATGTACCCAAAGTCTTGAGTCTGAGGATGCACTGCATTCCCAGTTCATGTGAAAAAGATTCTTCCTGCAAAATGCTCCTTGCCCAGTGCCTCTGGCCCCTGGATTGGCACCACCATCCACCGGTTGCCCAAGCCAGGGACCCCCAGGCAGCAGGACACACTGCTCCCCTAGGCTCACCCAGACCCCGTCCATCACAAACACTGTCCTATCTTCCTCCTAAGTGTTTCTTGAATTTATCACTCCTTTCCATTCCCTTTGCATGGCCCTTACTAGAGCCACATCATCCCTTTTGGCCTCTGCCTGTCTCTGCCTTCACTCCGAGGCCCCTCAGTCCAATGGTCCATCTCACAAGGGTGTCTTGCAAGGCACATAGATGTGAGAGATTATCGCTAGGTCTTGGGAGGTCTTTCAGTCTCTAATGTCTGTTAATTTGATTGGCTTTATAATTTGTTGCCTTGATAATATTTTAATGAACACCTGTTTTCACAAAGTAGAAATACTTGTGGTTTTGGTACATCCTGGTTTGCTCACATCAATGATACAGCTGTAGCAAAAACTTGCATCATTTAAATTATTTATGATAGGAAGAAAAATACTTTACAGTAGTTCCATGAATTCAGCCTTTTCACTAATTTAAACTAGCTCACCTGTTTCAAAAGTAGACCTTTTGCTAAAGAGTAGAATTTTCAGATGCTTCCATCTCTCAGATGTTTCCCCATCTCTATAGGAGAAGGAAGTAGGAAAGTGCTTGGCTTTTCTCCAAAAAGGAATCCTTTCTCTTTAATACTTTGTAACTCCCCAGGCAGCAAGAAGACAGGCCCTAATAGAAAGCTCATGTTTCTGGCTCCAAGGCAGCCGAGTATTTCTTTGCCTTCTTTCCAGACTGATCAGCCAGGCTACAGTAGCCTCGGGATCCTCCAAATGGAATCAGTGCCTGATGGAAAGGTTCCTCCAGGGAAGTCCCAGAAGCCAGTATGCAGAATGATGGCGTCAGGACTTTGACTGAACCTGTGTTCTAGCTCCAGCTCCACCTGAACTGATTGCAGGCTGGGCAGAAGCTCTCATGCTTCAGCTGTGACATTTATGGTGACCCGCACTGCCTGCCTCCTGGGGTGGCCTGAGGATTACCTGAGACAAGGCAGATCAAGTGCTTGCCTGGGGCTGGCTCAGTGCAGAGTCCAAGAAGAATAAAAAGTGATCACTGCTGCTCTGATGGGATTCTGGAACATCCAGTCCCCTCAGCTCAGGTATGTGCCCTTGTGTGTGTGCACGCATGTGGTGGAGAGGCACTTATTTCCCCTCCTAGTTCTCTGCAGAAGGATGCCACTAGAGGAACATCGCTAGCCTGTCACTGTCCCCTGCCTGTTTCTCCTCAGGGAGGAAGGGGGGCCTCTGGGAGGGGAGAGTTTGAGGGAAAGAGCTGCCATGCACAGCTCAGCCTTCTTTTGGAACCTACCTGCTTGCAGGAAGGGCCCGGTTGGGGAGGCCCCGGGTAGTCTATCACTCTGACTGCAGGAGCAAGTCCCTCAATTAGAGATGAGGTACTGGCCAACCTCCATGTCTGCATTCCCAAGGCACATTCTCCAAAACAGTTACCGTGTAATATAAAGGCGATATTCTGATCTCCACCTGCCTGATTCCTGTATCTGTCCTGTTTGTCCTCCAATACGGCCCACCTTCGCTTATGGCATTTGTTTCCTATCCGGCCTCAAATCAGAAAGCGACAGCCCAGCAGGGCACGGCCAGTGACCACTCACCCAGGCGCGAGGTCTGTTTCCTCTTGATCTCTGTGAGCTTGGGGATCGGGTAGGGCCCGTAGCAGTGAGTGAAGATGACACACAGCTGCTGGCTGATCACTTCGTTCTGCAGGAAAGAAAGGAGGGCTCAGGTCCTGGGGGCTGGGCATGGCCTCATGCAGGCTGTCGGCAGGAATGCGGCCCCCAGGCAAGGGGAGCCCCCAACTGCCTGCAGTTTCCAGAAGAAACTGCCCTGGACGTCACACATTCGGTCTGCCCTCGCAGGCCTGGGTTTGCTTGCCCACTGTCTGTTTCTAGTGGGGTTTTTGGCAGAAGCATCATTTGTAATCAAATCCCTCTTTCCTGCCCTAATCATTTACCACCCATAGGGAAGCAGGGTTTGTAGGTCATGGAGCGGAAAATAAGCTTTTACCCCAAGCACACTATGAATAAAATGAGAGTTCCTGTGGCCAGGATTCTCACCTGGCCTTGTTTGACTAGCTCACTGCACACCTGTGGGCAATACATGGCTGTTGACTCTATAAAAAGAGCTCCTCCCAGTGCTCTGGGTGCAACACGGTGGCAGGGCTGCAAGGCTGCAGGAGAGCAGAGCAGAGGCTGGAGTGGTGGTAACGCCGAGGACAGAGGCCCAGAGGGCAGCTGTGTGGGATGACTGTGCAGGAAGACTGTGCAGAGAAGCCCAGAGGATGGCTGTGCGGACAGAAGGGCCCAGAGGCAGAGACCAGCTTGCTGCGTGCAGACTCTCTCTGAGTGAATGGGATTCTAGTGATTGACCTGCCACCTGGAAATAAAGTTGGATACAACCCTTTCACCCCAAGAGCGTTTTGCTGTCAATTTCTTTGGTCACACTGAATCCATAGCGAACTTGCCTGGAGCTGAAACCCATTGGCAAGACACGCACCTTTGTCAAAACTCCAAAATCCTGAAAATAGCAGCAGGAAGCCCTTTAGATTCTGTAACTATGCTCTCCACTACCAAGACACAAATGCTTCTGATTCAGCTTTCTTAGGGATTTGATTCTGGTGCGGAAGCGTTTCCGATCCCAAAGGGTTCAGCTGAATCACTTTCTCCAAGAAAAAAAAACGTGGAGGGAACAGTTCTGTGATGCCAAGCTACAGCTGCCTCTGATTGCTCAGGGACAAAGGAGCCTGTTTGTGACTGACCCCTGTCCTTCACATTCCTGCCTCTTCCCCCTTGGGGTCCACTGCTGTTCTTAACCTCCCCCCAACTGCAGGTGTGCAGGAGGGGAGCCACAAATCACAGCATTTTGATGCTTTTTATTGGGTGAAGGCTGTTAAAACTCGGGGCTAAAAAATGGGGGTTAGATAGACATTTACAATAAATTAAGAAAAGTAGGTTGCAACACAGTTTGTATCATGTATTTTTGGAAATAAAACCCTACCTATACAGTCGGGTTGACATGTATATAGAAAACCTCTGGAAGAATAGAGTAGCTACCTTTGGGTAGTATTATGATGTTTTCTCTTTTCTTTTTAATCAACATTTTCAACCAACAAGTGTTGCTTTTGTAAATAAAAACAACAAATATATCTTTGATTTTAAAAGATGGTTTTTGGACAACTGATGATGTCAGTGGTTTAAGTTATTCTTGAATCTACTTCACTGGGCCCCAAAGCAGAATACAGTTTAACACATGAAAAGAAAATCCAACCCTTTGATTACAGTAGATGAGATCCTAAAAGGAACCATGTCACCTCAGATGTCATCCACAGAGGTACCCAATGGGACACAACCATACTGTACAGAAAAGGGATTCTATTTTCAAAGATGTTGAATGTTCCTCTCAACATTCACATTGTGACTGCCCATCTCATGGCTTCATGCAGTGGTTCTCAAAGTGTGGTCCCTGGACCAGCAGAATCAGCTGGATGCTTGTGAGAAATGCAGATTCTCAGCCTAGGCCCCCTGAGTCAGAATCCACAGTAGCATGCTCAGTGTGGTGGGCAGAATTATGGCCCACTAGATGACTGCACGTCCTAATCCCTGGGACTATGAATACCGTGTGGTATTGTATTATATCAATAGTATAGGACTATTGTGCTATCTGTGAATATGTGACACTGCAGGGCAAAAAGGCTTTTGCAGGAGTAATTAATGTTACTAATTAGTTGACTTTAAAATAGGTAGATTATCCTGGATTATCTGGGTGGGTCCAATGTAATCACATGAGCCCTTAAAATTAGAGGCCAAAGAGGAATTCAGAAGGGAAGGAGAGAAGAAGTCAGCGGGAAGCCTGAGAGGGAATTGGATGTACCACTGTGGGCTTGGAGATGAAGGGGACCACATGGCGAGCTTGAGAGGAAATATGACACTTGGAGAAACATGTGACCCCAGCTGACAGTCAGCAAGGAAATGGGACCTCAGTCCTACAACCACAGGAACTGAACTCTACCCAAACCTGAATGAGCTTGTAAGTAGATTCTTCCCTGGAACCTCCAGAATGGAACACAGCCCTGCTGACACCTTGAGTTTGGCCTCATGAGACCCTAAGCAGAGAGCCCAACTGAGACACTGTGTCTGGACTTCCAACCCATGGAAACCATGAGATAATAAATAGGTACTGTCTTCAGCCCTTCAGTGGCAATTTGCTCCTGCAGCAACAGAACACTAAATATATCTCACCAGCAGTCTGCCTCAGATGAACCCCATTTCATCATCCCCGTCACCCCGGAGGGCCAGACACACCGTGGACGCTCAGTGAGTGCTTGCAGATCACAGAGGACACGAGGCCTGTGACCCGTCAGATGCTCTGTACAGACTGCAGGATGAATGGCGCTGGTCTCACTCATCTGCACCAGGTGAACTGTGCTGCTGAGTCAACCCCCACCTAACCAACTCGAGGCGAAGGAATGAAAGTCCATTTCCTGGACTTGGGGGCCCTTAGAGAGGCAGGAGCAGCCAGTGGACTCCTGGTGGGGCTTTGTTTGGGTGGTGGTGGTTGTTTAATTCAATTCAACAGCTACTTATTAAGCATCCAAGAGATGCCCCAAGCCGTGAAAGGAGGTGCATTTGGGGCAATAAGAGCAAGCAGGGCAAGACCCCTCCTCTTGGAATTCATAGCTCCCCCCCCACTTCTGAACTTCAGGGTGAATTGTATCAGTGAGAACAGAAAAATAAGGGCCGGGCCCTGTCTGCCCCAGATGGACAGTCCTCAAGTACTTAAACACTATCTGGGAGGCACATCACTGCCCACTCCCAAGGGAGGGCTCCACACAGTGACTCGATTCCAAAGAGCACAGTTTGGAAAGGGGAGAAAAGGGTAAGTTTGCTGTGAAGAAACTTGACAAACACGACCTCAGCCAGGTGGTCAAGGTCAACAACAGCGGTGACTATTATTGATGGTACATACTGTGGATGTGGTGAGAGCGGCCCCTGTGGTCTTCCTCCCCAAACCCAGAAGCCCTGTCCAATCATGAGAAGACATCACATATTCCACTAGAGGGCATCCTGTGAAACACATGACCAGTACTTCTTGAAACTGTCATCAAAAACAAGGGAGGTCTGAGAACCTGTCTCAGCGAGAGGAGTGGGAACTCAATAGAATGTGGTGTCCTGGATGGGATCCTGGAGCAGAGGAAGACATTGGGTACAAAATGAAATATGGAACTGAGCTAATAATAATGTATTAACCATGGTTCATGCACTCTAACCAATGTCCCTTCCTAATGTAAGACATCAATAATAGGGGAAAGTGAGTGAGGGGTTGTATAGGAACTCTGCTATCTTCTGTTTTTCTGTAAATCTAAAATCATTCTAAAAAAATGAAGGCTATTATTTTTTGTTAAATCTGCCCAATGAAGAAACAGGATAATTATAATGAAAGCCCTGGAAGACCAGGAGGGAAGGGGAAAGGAGGTCGAGGATTAAAGAGGACCTCAGCATCCCCTGGGCTTTATTCGTTCATCCCCTAAAGGTTTCATGAATGTACACTTTTCCCCACGCACTCAGCTATGCATCTATCCATTCATTCTTTCTTTCTTCAGAGACTTATTGGGCATCTTCTAAATGCCAGGACTGGCTAGGCCGTGAGCGCCAGACACGGTGTGAGGGTGACAGTGATGTGCTCAATTTCAGCACCAGAGATACTGCCTTTTCCAGGACTTTCTGGATTCTTCTCTTTCAGAGACTAGAGCCCTAAGAGAAAACGGCCCAATTGAATTCATCTGTTTGTCGAGGGGTCTGCTCTGTGCTGTTCTCTGCATACTTCCTTCAGGTGGTGGGGTTATCGGTATGATTCACTCCGGTTCCCTGGCACCCAGAATGAATCAGGACATCAGAGATGCTCCTCTGAGCAACAGGCGGTGCTGTAGTTAGCATGGGGTAGGGCCTGTTGAGTTAGGTGGTCAGCTGGGGCCATCCTGTGGATTTGGCCAGCTCTGGTCCCAAGCCTGAACACTGTGGAATGGGGCTCATCACACTTGAGGCTCAGTCTGTTTTGGAGGCAGGGACCATGAGGTAGTTGTGGTAATGTTCTCTGAGCAGCCCGTTTAAGCACAGTGCTTTTAGGTCAAAGGTGCCACAAGGCTCAGCCTGCAGGGGCAGCAGGCCAGTCTGTGCATGCAGGCTCTGACCTGGGAGGCCAAGGTAAGCCGGGGCGGAGGCGTGGACTGGGGAGGGGTGGGCTCTGGCCAGGCTCAAGTACACAGCCCCGATTGCGGTTGTCACTGTCCTGCTGTTGGGCCTGTGCCTTTCAGGTCTCTCTGGGAAAATCCTGGGTGTGCACAAGGCAGTAAACTCGTGTCCCTGGGACTCAGAATGGTGCAGCTAAAGGGGAACACAGCGAAGTTCTCAATACCATGCTACCAGGAGACGCTCCTGACATGGGCTCCTGGGGATTTGGCGGCTGACATCTTTCCTCTCCTGCTCTGACCCCTCATTTCTCTCCTAAAAAGGTACCAAAAATATGTTCCTTTCTTCAGAAAATAAGTGCTATGATTGATCCCAAAGGTCTTTTCAGGTGGTGTACACTTGGGCCCTATGTAATAGTAAAAATGCAGACAATGGGGCCTAGTCCTGATTCCTCACTTATTAGCTCTGTGACCTTAGGACACTTACTCAGCTTCTCTGGGCCCCTGTGTTCTCTTC